TAAAAGGTATAAATGTCTGCTACATTTTGTCTTTGTTTTCCCCAACCCAATTATGATTTTAAATGGGATGTTTATCCTGATTTGTTTGATGCTGTCATGAAATATTTCTGCATGTTGCTGCAATCAATCCCTATATTCTAAAAATCATATAAGGCCATCAGAGCGTCAAAAAATCACGAGGTCTAGTTTTTCGGAAAGCTCAGTGTGTCTAGGTTTTATGAAATTTAGGCCGCTCAACCTAGTTCCAAGTCCTTGAAAGATATAAAGTTCAATCTGTGTAGATTGGTTTAAAAGTTAACAACTTTGAGGTGTTAAATTGTAAAATTTGTATAGAATCAACCAAATATCGTTAGAATGGGTTCTCTATATCCATGAAAACGTAAGAGGGTGAACTACAATAATATGCGATAACGTAACAGAAACAATGGGTCTAAAGGAGGTAAACCAGACCACGAGCAGAAGGCCTTAATGAAAATAAAAGTAAAATTAAAGATAAATAATTATTATTAAGTATAGTGTCACACCTTCGGCTTCCGACGGAAACGCCGAGGTGTGCGACATAAATCAGTGATCATAGTTATTAAATATATACATTAAACAATACAAAACAAAATCTTCTATTAATATCGCAATAGAAATTACATTGATAATAACTATTTCTAAATCACTACACATACCTAACATATAGCATTTACAATCGTATAGTAAAATAATGGAAAATATTCTATGAAAACTCTTCCGACTTACTAATAAACCTAAGAATACATGCATTAAGATACGTCAACAAAATTGTTGGTGAGTTCTATAGATTTTGACACAATTTTTTTTTATAACCAAAAGTGTTTTATAAAATTTAGCTAGTTGACCAACTTTTATAAATATTTACTTTTCTATCAAAAGAATAAAATAAATAAGTTATAAAGGTGTGTTTGGTCTCATTTAGAAATATCATTTGTTCAAATCCAAAAGTACAAAATTTGACAAAATATATATAAGTAATTCAGACGTTTATCAAATTTTTACGGTTCTCATAACCAAAAATGCATTTTTATATAAAAAATTTTAATATCAAATAATATAAAAATAAGGTATGTTATCCTTTGTGAGAACATAACATAACCAACTTACTCCTGAAATTTCGTACAAAAAATGGTATAGTTTATACGTAGAAATCATAAATTTTGAAATTATAAATTTTGTAAAATCCAACGTGGTATTAATTAAGTGTTGTCTACTTAAATTGGGAACCAACTCGTAACTAGTAGGGCAAACTCCTCCCACAAAAACGAGATTTTTTTGGTATAAAAACAAATGGTTTATATAAACAACTTATTAACTATAAGTTATTAAAACTTAATGAGTCGTGTCATGCTATTAATTAAGTGTTATATAACTTAATTGCTGACATCGACACTTATCATTTTGAGTCCAATATCCCACTGCATACGATCTCTTCAACTAGAATAAATGAACAAAAACACCGTATAAACAAAAATGCCGATTCTATATGATAATAAAACAAATCTAAGATCTATAATGAGTTCTTAACCGAACTATGACACTACACTACAACACTAGCTCCAAAATCGAGTGTACTGATAGCCATCCTCAATGTTTTAAAACGTAGTGTAACACATAAAGACTGAACATCAGCCCATAACCAAAATTTGACACTACACTACAACACTAGCTCAATAATCGAGTGTATTGATAGTCATCCTCAACGTTTTAATATGTTGTGGAATAAATAAAGACTGAATGCCAGTGCCTAATTCATCTCGTCAGACAATGGTTGTAGCTAGCAACTCCAGATAGGCGGTTGAACCATATAAGTCCAATAATATGAATCATATACCTGTCGTTCTTCGTTCCTTACTGATTAACGGTTATAAAAATAGAGGGTATTCACCAAGAAAAATAGTCTTAGTATACTCAACAACATAGCCTACAACTTAGGAATGATCCTAGCTCATATGGCCTTTAGAAACGAACATAGCTCATATAGGAATCTCGAACGTGTGATGGATCCTAAAAAATGTGTCTAGGAATCCTAATATAAACTTCCTGTTATGTGATTATTGAATACTTATAATTTTGTTATACAAGAATAAACTTTGATTGAAGTTTTTTTAGTATATGAGTTTCATAAGACTTAAATGACTTCCAAATGTTTTACTGTCTGATATGGCAAAATTAGGGCAGCATAACAGTTGCTTTTATAACATTTTTTAGGTTTCAACCAACGTGAAACCAACAAATTCCATAAATAAATAAGTCACATTTTGTATACGATACGTATTTCATAATTAACGTTTATTAAATGTTGAAGTTAATAATGTTATTTTATGCGACGAACATCCATAATTTAGTAAAAATGAGTTATATTTTTATAGCTAGTATAAAATATATTAATAAAATTTTGCATTAATTTTTACATAACCTTACATATTAAAAGTTAAATTTGATAATTTTAACTCATAATTATATAATTTTATAAACTTGGTTTTTATACCATTTATGTCAATGTACTTTCATTCTACACATAAATTTGTTGAATAATTTTTTGATTACATAGTATATTTTTGTATACTTTTAACATGCTCAAGCTTATATATGACAAATACCATAATCATTATAAATTATTAAATAGATTTGCACCATTATAGCATTCTACTTGTAATATTTTAATTTTTCTTGATATTCTATGAATATTTCACAACAGAGTATAAGTATATTATCTTTTAACAATCTACTTTAACTTGTATGATTTATTAATGATTTGTAACATTTTAGATTGCTATTTCATAAGTTTTTTTACCAATAACAAGGATGATGCATTTTAACGTATAAAAACCTGAAAAGCATCAAAACTTTGATAGACACGCATGTATTCTCCCCGAAACATGAAAAGTGTAAAAGTGGGGCTATAGAAGCTCACCCTTGAAGCATGCGTTCAATTAGTTCATACCCACTTCATTTTTGTGAAGCTTCACGTGAGAAACTAAAATCAACACCTTATTGAGCTAAAACTGTAAAGTCCCAAATCTAAGGAACCAAACCAGTGATCAAACAAAGAACAAGCAAAATGAACAATAATGGTGTAGGAGAAGGAATTAATCAAGCAATGCACATGATTTTATAGCAGGGCCATAAACCGTATGGTACACCTGGAAAATACACACAACTAACGTCACTAAACACAGACAAGACAAGCCCTATTTATATGAATACGACTAATCGCACACGGGTTCACGACCGTGAACACCAAACAGCCGTGAACTAACTGACCGCAAACACCAAACATGACCAAAACGCTATTCAGACCTATACATATTGATACCTAGCCCAAACCACTAAGTTATGACCTAACATTCTCCCCCTTGGTTAGAGCTAACATATCTCCAGTCCTTCTCAATCAGCATCAGAGCAAATCTTCCCATATCCCCAAGCCACATTTTCTTCTCAATGATTGTGGCAATCATAATTGTAAATTCTTTGGAAGCCTGCTTTATAAGCTCCATCTTGCAGACAATTTGATGTCGAGACAAAGTGTGAATGCCCCGTTCCCCGAACTTCAGAAGATCTTTTGTTGTAACAAGGCGATGAGTAGACGTTGGAAATTTGATCACGACAGTGGCTGTGGGTTCATCGAACACCTAGAATTCCATATTGTCTAGTGATCTATCACGAAAGTGTTGGACAATAGGAATCTCTTTCAGTTTCTTCATGGAAGGCCACATCACAAGCTTCATCGGCTGTTGGTATTAGGATCAATCACATCTTTGCTACTCCTTATAAATGATTCTGCAGTCTTCATTTTGTCAAAATTTCTCTTGACTTGATTTTCCAAGAATAGTTGAAATTCAGTAGCCTGAGGGTCTTGAGATGGATTATGAAATGGAGCTTTGGTGAGCTTAGTAAGGTCAACTTTTTTCAAGAACAAAAGTCATAATTATCTTTATAGTACTCCAGCTCACCAATTTTTCTTTCCACCACCTAGAGTTTGTTGTGAAATCCCCACATCAGGATTCCTGATCTGTTGCTAAATTTGTCACCGAACCTCCTTTTTCAAGATTAGTTACCATCAATTTTGGCTGGTCCGCATGACGATTCTCATCGGAATTTTTCATGATGAGCAATTTCTTCTTTTTCTAAGGAGCAGACGGTTTTTGAGCACTCCTCAATGTTACTCTTAGAGGGGCTTGAATTGGTTCACGTTTGAATTGACAAACAATCCTGGTGGTTCTCACAGGTGGTGGATTTTCAAGCTGATCTGGCTGAGATGAATGGGCAGGGGCTTGTTGAGAAGTATGAGCTCCACTGAAATTTTCGACAAAGGATTTGAATTTGTCGCTAAATTCTTCATCAAGTTTGATCTTTAAGTAGAAGTAACATGCGGTCAGAGCTCCAAGATGAGTTTGTAAATCAGAGATTTGTTTTGTCTTTAAAGTATTGACACTTTCAAGCTCGGAAACTCGAGTGTTGAGTTTCTCAACCAAAACATATTTTTCAATTAGTCTCTAATTTATCACACCAATTTCTTGTTTTAGCTCTATTACAGATGGGTTTGCATCTCCTGAACTTCCTTCACCTATTGATATTCCTTTACCATGAGGTGAAGGGTTTGTATCATGTTGTGCAAGAAACCTGCCAAGCCTTTCAGAATCAGCATCATGCATAGGTCTTGGAGGAGAACCCGTAGGAGTTGAAGAGCTCCTGGTTTCAAATGAAGATCTAACATCACATGGCCCTTCATGGGTTAGTGTAGCAGTTGTTGTTGTGGCTAGCTGTGTTAGCAGGGCCTGTTCTCTAATAAGCACTCCCGGCCTCGGATTGGCTCGTCTTCTTTTCAATGGAGGTTGGGAGGCAAGGGTCATCACAAAATAACGATCTAACGACATAGACATTGGAGTGACAACCGGGAGGGGAGGAATCCTTATGGTTGTATCTGTATCAACTGTAACACCAACCATCTGAACTGATGTAGGAGGTGTCACCTTTTAAACTTCATCAACTCCCCCTGTCTCTATTTCCGGTTGTGCAACTTCATCGACATTATCAAAGAAGGAGTGGAGCTCCTCAAGATTTGGGCAGTAATCATTATTGATCTTTTCAAAATCATAAATCGTGCCATTATCGAAACCAAACATTGCACTACCAAAAATCGTATCATCATCATCAAAACCCTTATCATCATCATCATCATCATCATCATCATCATCACCCTCTGCAGTGTAATCACTCTGAACTTCCACATTTGTCATTTGATCATGTTCCTCTGCCACGATTGCAACAGTATGAACTTATTCTTCTTCATGCTTAGAAGCAGTAATGACATCATCTTCAGTTTCTATAAACTCGGAGGAGCTTTTAGCAGACGAGTCTCTAACTTCAGCAAACTGCCCGAACTTTAACAATGGATATTTCTCATCAAACATAAAGTTTCCCTTTCTGTTCTGTTTCATGAGCCCGAAAGTGCTGGACCCAAGGGACTTCAAATCGATTGTTTCTCCTATTTTCTCAAGTTCTGGGTATTTGCTATTGAATATCATCTGATGGAACCTCGGAAACATGAAAAATTTGTCTTTTCCTTTGCCTTCAATGTTCCCACCATGTCATTTAGGATGAATCTCGAAAAATTGAAGTCTAGACCAGTAGCCAGAGCAATAGTTGCACCCGTTCTGTGCAACGAGTCCTCATCAGCCTATGTAACGCCCGCAGATCCGGGCTAGTCAATTTAGAGGTAATAGGGGTCGAAAATGACTTTTTGACAAAAGATTATTTAGAATAAATAATCTTAACCAAGTTGTAGATATGTCACAAGGTTTCCGTACATATAAAGAATGCCGAAATCCAAGTTATAACGAAGAAGTTATGGCTCGTCGAAGTTTCGCGACGGAACCGGGAAGCGTAAATAGTGAATTTACGATGGAGGACTTTTTAGCTTTAGTGATCTAAATAAAAGTCGTAGAATATATTAAACTAAGAACATCAATAAAAAGAATGCCCAAATCTGACTTCGTATGAGGAAGTTATGATTTTTCGAAGATTCGGCTTAGCGGTGTACAGCCCGAAACTCAAATTTTAGTTCGAGCGGTTTTTGGCTTACGTGACCTAAATGAGAGTTGAAGGTCTCATTAATAGGAACTCAACGGTAAAAAGACAGACGAAAACGGAGTCCGGATGAAGGAGTTATGAACTCTTCGCGGTCATTTAACAGTCTAAACGCCTCCTACTGTTAAATTTGAGATCGGTCAAGAATTAGCTGACAGAGTCTAAATGAAAGTTGTGGATCTTGATTTTACCTACGCGTGGATATAAAGAACGTCGAAAATGGAGCTCGTATGCGAAAGTTATGATTTTTCTAAGTTTGAAGGCTGATACGCAATAGGGGGTGACGTGGCACCACCAGAATTGGACATGTGGCACCACCAGAAGGCCACCACATGGACCAACTCGATGAGCCATAACTCAGACTCAACGAGTCCATCAGATTCCTCCCCTATAAATAGAGGTGTCGGGTTCCCTCATTCTTCACACCTTCCTAAACTATTCTTTCTCTCTCTAGACTCTCTCTCTAGCCCCCTAACCCCCCTAAAATCCTAGGTAAACCCCCTAGCACCCGAAGGAAGCCCCGAGGCTCCCGGAGTCCCGAGAAAAAGGGTCTTTCGGCTCGGAAACGCTGCTCCAGCGAAGCCCGGTTTTGCGAAAAACCCGCTGTAAGTGAGCTATGCCTACGCTATCTTTAGTATAGCTTATGTTTTAATATAGTAACATTATTAGGAACTTATAATGAGTATTTGGGCTATTATTATGAGTTATATTGAGTGTTATTTAACGCTTATATAATAATAATAATAGTGAGACTATTACTTTGTCGCGCTTATCGTTAGACTAAACCCTAGTGGTATTGATACTAGGTTTTATCGAAGGAAATTGTTTTGAGAGTATCGAAGTGCTGTCCGAGTGTTGAGTCACCACCTTTCAGGTGAGTGCATAGTCCCTTTTATCTTACACATAGATATGAAGTGTTTTATATAAACTACGTGCTATGTGTGCATATTATCTGTATACTTACTGTCTATGCTGGATGAACGTTTTATACATGTTTTAAAGGATTTAAACTGTATACGTATTTTATATATACGAATATGTTGGGTATGACGATGGGTAGATAAATGATGAGAGATAGAAGATGACGTGAGTATACATTGGCAGCTATAGACTTAGTGCCTATGGGACAAACACCGATAGCTATGGACTTAGTACCTATTCGACGTTGGTAGCTATGGACTTAGTACCTGTTGAGCATTGGTAGCTATGGACTTAGTACCTATTAGATAAAGACTGGTAGCTATGGATTTAGTACCCGATGAATAGACTATAGCAGCTCTAGAATTAGTGCTTTATGAACGAACATTGGCAACTATGGATTTAGTGTCAGTCCTATAACCCTGGAAGTAAGGGACTTCGGAATAAACAAATGAAGGATAGATGACTCTTAGGTTAAATCCTTAAAGAGTAAAGAAGATAATGGGGATGGGTAATTGGGTTGATTGTTTGATTAAACATAATAATTATATTATTGTGGATTGAAAACCCTATGTACTCATCAGGTTTCCCAACCTGACGCACTCAGTTTATGTATATATCACAGGTGACGAAGTGAAGTGACATTATACTGAGAGATTTAAAGAGATGTAGATTACTAGTGTAAATAATTGTAAGTTCTGTTTATGCTTATGTTTCTGTATTAACGATGACATCCCAAACGTTTTAAGATGAATAAAAATACGTTTCTTCGAAAATGTTTTAATAACGTATTTATCGTGTTTTTCTGGGAACAAATTTCGCAACCTTTTTATAAAATGAAGTACTCTGATTTTTATAAAGCATAAACAAAATCGGTCTTTTCTGGCCGTGATTTTGGGGATGTCACAGTTGGTATCAGAGCATTAGTTTAAGCGAACTAGGAATATGGATTTATTTCTAGACTTAAACTTAGAATGCTAAGCAATGATTGTGAGGAGTGTGTTTAACAAAATTTAGGTAATACACCTGAATAGACACAAGCACTAGCTTATTTAGGGAAAATTCCTAACATGCTTTTATGTGCTAAATGATTTATGATATGCATTATATGATCGGATCTATGGTCTGTTGCCGACCGGATCTGGAAACCTTATGTGTTTAGGATTCTAAACGTACGACTACGATATTAGAACTAGCATATAAACGTTTTGGAGTGATAAGGATGATTTAACCGTCAATCCTAAGTAAAGATCTAGATTCACCTTATTCGGTGTATAGATCAAGATGGCAAGAACCCGTAGCGGAAACGTGAATGCAAATGGGAACAGAAACCAACCCCCAGTGATTGAGCAAATACCGGTGATGGAAGCCGCTGCTGAGCCATTCTCAATGGCCGGAGTGCAAGCGATGATCCAAGCGATGTTGGATCATCAAATGGAGGAAACTAGGCGTTTGCTCCAGCAATATCGAGAGGAAGCGACCGTTCAGATCGAACATCCCGAGTTGAACGAAGGGTAGTCTGAGGAGGAAAACTACAGTGGGACTGTTGGTCAAGCCAACCCACCAATAGTTAGGCAAAACCACCAGGATGGAGGAAATGATGGACGTGGATGCAAATACAAGGATTTCATGGCGTCCAAACCACTGAGTCTATCTGGAAGCCCGACGCCGGTGGAAGTCATAAACTGGATCTCCGAGATGGAGACGATGTTTGAGAGTTGTGAGTGTAGCAACAGGCAAAAGACCGCTCTCGCGGTTCCTTTGTTGAAATCTGGAGTACTAAGCTGGTGGAAGCTACTAGCTGATTCGATGCCCAAAGGAGAAGCGAGCAAAATGTCATGGGAGGATTTTCTAGTGCAGCTAAAAATGCAGTACTGCTCTGAACAGGATCTTCTGGAAATCAACAACGAGTTTCAGAATCTAAATAAGGGAAAGATGAGTGTCATCGAGTATGCTGCAAGTTTTACAGAGAAAATGAAGCTTGTTCCTTATCTAGTTCCAACTGAACTCTCCAAGGTCAATACGTTTGCCCACGGATTACCAGCAGACTTTGGTCCAATGGTCAAACAAGCAACCACTTTGAAAGCCGCCATCTGGGCAGCCAAGAATGTCGAGACCCAAATAAGAGAAAAGGGTCTAGAGAAAGTTGAAGTTGGTGAGAAGAGGAAGTTGGAAGGATCCTCAAGACCTGATAATAAGGGAAAGTTCTTGAAGTCTAACCTGGACGACCGAAGGAATGAAGCCAAGTGGTGTGAGAAGTTCAAGAAGAAGCACTTAGGAAGATGCGATGGAGAAGTGACGTGCTATAAGTGTGGTAGGACCGGTCACTATTCCAGAGATTGTACATTCGACAACAAGAAGTGCTACGAATGTGGAAATAATGGGCATATTTCAAAGAACTGCCCAAAGAAAAATAAAGCAGCAAGACCAGAAACGCCACCAATGCCAAGGGCATTTCACATGATCCTCGACGAAGCAGAAAACCGTGCGAGGAATCAAGGATGAGGACTTCATATCCGAAGATCAAATTATGCAATAGCCATAGTATTCTATGATGTAGCCTATTAGAGGCATAGCCTAGGGTGAACTTGAACACCTATGTAATCGTTTCAAGAAATAATATAAAACCTTTGTTTTGTTATCTGATGAGTTAAGTTGTTGTGTGATTCGCTGCATGGTGACTTGGGAAACTGCGAGACAATACTTGGGACGAGTATGAGTAGGTGTGAATGGTAGTAGAGGCCTATACTACCGGAAGCACAGGACTCACACTTGGATCAGGGAAAGTCACAAGGTTACCAAGAAGCTAGTAATTGATTTCGTTTTATTCAAGTGTGTTGTTACCATTGTTTTGGTAATGACTAAGAAGATTGCTGATATTCTGACCCTAGTGGTCATATCCCATTGAGTCCAACTACGATGAATAGGTTACATGGTTTAGAGAACCAAGTTTGATGTAGCGTCCGACTTAAACCAAACGGTTGAAATCAAAGCGATCAATAGAAGTATCGCACTCGTTGTTAAAGAGGTTGGTAGCTAGAAATGCTACATGTTAAAGTGTGATTATGTCACATTAGAACATGAAGGAAGGCATAATTTGTTTTAGAATTTAACTCTAAGAGACCTAAGTCTAAAAGTGCGACACATGATTTGGAGTCTAACCTGGGGTAGAGAGCAGGTGCACGATTAAGTACTGCTTACAGTCAATAAGTCTAAGAGATAGACTTGAAGGAATAAAGAAGTTATAATTTTTACCTAGGATGAAGAGATGACGTATAGAGTCATTATACGAACCCTGTTTTGTTGATGATTCCGGGACGTAATCATCCTAAGGGGGATATAATTGTAACGCCCGCAGATCCGGGCTAGTCAATTTAGAGGTAATAGGGGTCGAAAATGACTTTTCGACAAAAGATTATTTAGAATAAATAATCTTAACCAAGTTTTAGAATATGTCACAAGGTTTCCGTACATATAAAGAACGCCGAAATCCGAGTTATAATGAAGAAGTTATGGCCCG